TCGTTTTGATTTATATTACACTAATTGATTTATTGACAGATTCTGCTGGCCAAGTGTGCAGACAGCCCCTGCAGTTTGTCGCTTCACGGCATCCATTTAAGGCGTCTCGGACAAGGCTTTTGATTTCTCTCGCACCTTATTTGATTAACGTTCGATTCTCACAATTTATGAAACTTCATTAAAAAGCGCAAAATACGCGGCCCACGTTGTCAATGTGCACGTGCAGCATGCGAAAAATGTTAATAAAGTTTTTCCCGCACCTGTTCGCAGCTCCTGGCCTCGCCATCTTCATCATCGCTGCCATTTTTCACTGTAAATTGAATTTATTTGCTGCGGGTGTAGTATGTATATGGCTGGGTGTCTGTATCTTTGAGTGCGGGCTTTAAGCCTCCCTCAGTCGAGGACTGTGTTTCATTTCGGCGTACGTGCAGACTTTTCTTTTATTTATATTTTAATTTTCACAATTTTCATGCCCTGCCCATTGGAAGAGTCAGTTTGAATTTGAACTTACGCAAATATATATTCATTTACAAAAGAAAGCATTGACATAGGGATCGACTGAAAGATATATGAAAATGGAGGTTTTAATATTCTTAATTAACTCTTTAAATAGAATGAATAAAACTAGAAACATTTATTAATGATCTGTTTTGACAAGCATATTGATTTCAATTTGTTGCAATGATGTTCAATAATGCTTTAAAATATTGCAAGCCTTACCAAACAAAAAACATTGGTGTACACATATCATTATCATTTGTTTCGTTTTACGACTGAAGTTGAATATACGCCCCATCGGCGGGCTATTTATGCGGGGAGGCCTTTAGGGGATGTGATGCAACTGCAGCAGCTGTCCAAAATGTTTGATTTTAAGCCAAATTTACATTAAAAAAATGCCAGTTAACATTATTTAAATTGCAAATATTTCATTGAATTTGTCGTAAAGCTGTGCGACTATAATTTATTTTATTTTACTTATTTTTTCGTTTTGCCTATGCAGTGGTGTTTTTTTTTGTTTTTGTTTTTTTTTTTTTTGGGTAACACATATACAATGCTGCTGCAAAAATTGCATAAAAATGCAGCATGTCGGTGTGGTTTCTTGGCCTGTCAACATGCTTTGCCTATCCAACGTCTGAGAGTCTTGTCAGCAGAAAAAAAATACATTTAAAAGGAAGTTTTTGTCAGCAGTATTTGTCAGAAATGTCGTGCGATTGTCAAGCGAACGAATCTTGAGGCAATCGCTACGGGTGAGGTCTTTCCACAAACTGCTCCCGTGACAGCTGTAGCTCAGCTCAACAGAGATGAAAGATTTGTGCTGCGAATTATTAAAGCCTATCTGCCAATGGCTCGCCCCACTTTCGGCGCATTGCACAATTTATTTACAAAATAAAAGTAAAAAAGTTGAAAACTCATTGGCATTTGCATAAAGGAAAAGCAAGCGAATGTAGCGAGTGACAGACAAACGAGCCTACACCTGACCAAACAAACCGAGACTATGACTGTGCCCACCTCCTACCGCAACAACAGACTGGCTGAGCGACTGCCTGGTGGATAAAGGCACGCCTGCCTGTTCCCGGCCAGTCAATAGCCACCGTTTTTTATTTATTTTTTGTTTCTGAAGCAAAAAAGAAACATTTGGCTGATAGCCAGGCGGGTCAGTCAAATGATTTTACCTAAACGGTTTCGAATTGACATTTTGACATTCCTGCAGTTGTGCCTGGGCCTGGCCAGGAAGCTGCTGTGGTGACAGCTGACCAAACGCGTTGATGGAACGGCAGCAGATGCCAGTAAGAATTATTTACATACATCCAACATCAGTTGGCATATTAAAAATGATTTAAAGACCCTATGCTGTGCTTTTTTATGACTATTAAAGGAATACTTTTACATTGCAGTTTTTAGCAAAAATAAAATAAATAGGAAGATAAAATATCTCCGTGTCATTTCAGCTCAGTTGATTGTAAATCGAGTAATTTAAACATTACTATTATACCACTTCTTAACCACGTTTGTGACAAATTTGTTGATATCAACTTTTTTAAATATAGTATTAATAATCATACTACTAATATTAATATTAATAATAATAGTATTAATAATTTTAGATAGATATTTAGTGCTTGGCAAATGACAGGGAAGGAGTACTATTATTTTGTATCCAAGAGACTGAAGCTGCTTATTTCTTGGAATGAGAAATTGTGGGTCAAATGGAGGAAACTTTACAAGTTTTGAACATGATTCCAGCAGCTGTTCAAGTGTAATAGCTTTGCATACCAGAAAAGGAAGGTCGAGCATAATGATTTTGACTTTGAGTCACACTTCCCAAACAGTTCAGTTCAGCTGAGGTAAGTTTTAAGTTATTATGCCAAGCGAAAACAAAAACAAAACTTGGTTCGTATCGAAAGACGACAGCTGCACTGAGTTCAGTTGGTGGCCCGCCATTTGCTATTGTCCAAATTAGCATTTTAAACACCTCTTACTTTGGGCAAATGATATGGCACATGGAAAGCAAATGCTGCAGCAGCGCCTCTGCTGGCGTCAGCTGCTGCTGCTTCTTTTGCTGCCACTGCTTGTGTTGCTTGTGCTGGCTCTGCTTCTGCTGCTGTTGGCAGTTTCCCAGGCAGGTAAGTTGGCGACGCGTGTGTGGCCTTTTATGGCTGTTGGCAGCAAGTTTTTTGGCTATCAGCAGACAACCAAATCGAACTCAAGTCTGTGTGCTTGTGTGTGTGTCTGTATGCGGCGGGATTCAGTTTTGGCTACCTTACTTATATGGTCAGTCAAACTTTCAATTAACACACGGCGCATCCTCAGCTGCCGCAAAACGTTTTCACGCTCCATGACTAAGTTTGGCCCGGCAGTTTGGTCGCGACAGTTGGCCAATGCACTGGAAGCATTAATTGCTGGAACTGGCCTGGGACTGGGACAGTTAGTTGGACGGTGACTGGGACAGGATTGGCGGCCAAGCGTTATTAACACCAAATTAATCAACAAGCGTTTGACAGCTGACTGATTTGTGCCGCCCAATTGCCGCGACTTTGCAACAGAATTGTGGCGCCAGCGTCCAGCCGGAAATTTCTAATTATGTTTAAGTCACAATCTACGAATTGAAGGCATGGCCACACGCCCACTTGTCGTTTGATTTGTTTGCATTTGAAACATGAACGCTTATGGCCAGTAGCCAAGAGTCTGAGCTCGTTAACCGGGTCGAAGTCACAGTTGCCGGCAACTTTGCTTTGATCTACTCGCAACTTTGTCTTTAAACGCGTGCCGCCAGCCAAGCTGTGGGCTTGATCATTCCACTGGAATTGGGCTTTGTGTTTAGCACATTAGCAGGAGGCACGCCCATAAATCTTCAATGCTAAATTGAATGCGCTGACGAGCTGAGTGATAGAGTGTGGTTTAGGGAGAGGGGCGTAGGCAGTGGGCGGTTGAGAACGTTGCATATCGTTAAAAAGCGCTGCTATAATTTGGCTTTAATTGGCTTGACGCGTTGCGAGCTGCTCGCTGTTCAGTGGGCTGTGTGCCACATATTAAGCAAACATGAGCATAATGGCAATTTACACTCTCTCAGACACACACGCGCGCGCACACACATACATACATATAGAGCGACGCAATTAACATGACATGCTGTTCACGTTGGCCTGATTGGGCCACGACGATTGGATTAACCACAAAACTCTGTTGTCGCACAGGCGGCAGGTAGCAGGTGAAAAGAAGCAAGAAAGTAAGAACGATAAACGACTATGTAATGCCCTTTACACTAATCAAAATATATACACATAACAGGATTACAGATGAAAAAACTATCACGAAGCCAAAATTGTATATTTATAATTATAAATTATTGTTGTGTGTTCCCATTCACTTTTTGTTTCTTCGCCGTTTTTAATTTATATTTATATTAATTAATATAAAAAATTTGACACTGTCGCTGAATTTGAACAGGCGACTATTTCCATATAAGTCCGATGCTCCGATATTTTCAAAGCACACTTACATGGCGGTGATGCTTTTTACGATTTTCCCCACTTGCAGGTCGACCAAGTCAGTCAAGACAAACGCATATATAAAAATATATATATGTATATAGATTTTGTTAGGGGGAATGCACGGGCCGAAAGCACGCTCATACTTTAGATTGAACAGAATTGATGCAGAATTGAAAAAAATTGCATTCTGGTACTCATAATACTTTAAGCACCATATAAAACTCAGCATTGCTAAAAAAGCTCCTTGAAATAAACCTGGATCTAAAACATATTGGTAGATTCGTGGGAAAAATTTAAATTAGAAATGATTAAACTAAAAAAATGTAAAATCATGCGACATTGCCTGGATATGCTAACTGACCTACTTGTGTCGTTGATACCCTTTCCGATGTACAGTAAATGATGAAAATTGTGCGTGCCTGCTATGCGACTACGATGGGAAGGCGGGCCGCAGTGCAAGTTGGCCATAACTTAGTCAGTGCTTTAATTTTAATTATCCATCCAGCCCAAAGGGGGCAAGTTGGTCTGACTAATTTGCCAACAACATGACACTGACGCCAGAGTGCAGAGTCGAGCTACCAAACACAAGCACACAACATATATAGACGCCAGCCATAGTGAAGAGCCTGATTAAGTTGAATACTTGGCCAGCTGCTTTACATGCTCATAGTCATTTGGTTTGGCGGATCGGCTCGATTCGGCTTGGCTTTTGGCATGCGTTCGCGTTAATTAAGCTACAGTGCAGCAGCGCCGCATGACGCTGGCTGCGTGTTGGCCATGTGGCCATCTGGTAATCTCCGCGGATTAATGCGACACTTTGCAGTTAACAGAAGTCGTGTTGTGCCGCCACCACCGCTGCTACTCCTGCTGCTCTTTGCTCTTTTGCACGCTTGTTAACAATATTTCGAGTTGTTGCACGCTGATGCGAGCACCGAACATGCGGCCTGCGGCCAAGTGGCAGCCACTATGCCACAGTGGGGCAGTTGCCCAGTGAATTGACTGAAATGCTGCTTAATGCACATGTATTTACTATGTGTATATGTCGATTATAAATTTTAACTTCCACAGGATCGGGAGCTTTTCGCGGCACTTGCTCCTCAGTAACTTATATCTGGGCAGGAATTCACATTTCATATGCATCGACTATCAATTTTTCGGCTCCCGCCGAGCCTTCAACTGAGCCAGGTACGTATTTTCCAATGCTGGCCAAACTGTTAGCCTGTTGAATAGGTAAAAGGAAGGTTCTGTAAGCTTGATCGAATTATGCACTTAATAAATTTATGGCTGATCTTCCTGATAGAATAATGAATTATATGAGCTTGAATTCCATCCGAGTATATAAAAAAAAAACAAGTAAGAGGTTCTAGTCGGGAGCTTCCGATTAGGGGATACCCTGAACCCTCTTCTTCCAACATCAAATGCATATATATAATCTCTTTTAGAAGCTATATGTCAAGTTTGGTGACTCTAGCTCTTATTATTTACCAAAATTTCCCAAAAAACAGAATATCGATATCGATTTTTATCGATTGCTTGGAAACGGAGTAAGTTATTGATTATCAAAACAAACTCGATCTGCGCAGGCACTAGGATCACCTACATCTAAACTTTCAGGTCTCTAGCTCTTATAGGTTCAGAGATCCTTGCGCTCATACATACGGACGGACGGACGGACGGACGGACAGACAGACGGGCATGGCTAGATCGACTCGGCTATTGATGCTGATCAAGTATATACTTTATGGGGTCGGAGATGCTTCCTTCTGCCTGTTACATACATTTGGATTTTGCACAAATACAATATACCCTTATACCCATTTTTAATGGGTGCAGGGTATAAAAATATCTGCCATTGAATTTTTAAAAAGACAGAATAATTGTGTTTCCCACTTTAAGTTATTAGCCCACAATCCAATAATTTTATGAAGACCTACCTTGGCGCGCTTAATAAGCTCACTTTGAGCTGTGAGAACGTTGTCCTTCTTGCCGCCCCAGGACCGCATGGCAGAGGCCTGCATAGCGCGTCCAAAGGAAAAGGTCAGAGCCCAGGGCTTGCACAGTGGCACATTGTTGGTGGCATTCAAGTTAACAGAGGCCTCTTCCTCCGACATGCCACCCGACAAGAACATAATGCCTGCAGGTTAAACACGGATGAAACAGTTCACATTTCTGCACCTCTTAGCTGAGCTCTTACCGGGCACAGCAGGTGGCACAGTGCGGCGCAGGGCCAAAATGGTAGCCATGCCAATTTCGGCGGGCGTATTGTTCTTGTTGCTGTTTTGACCGGCCGTCACCATGTTGGGTCTGAGCAGTATGCCCTCTAAGTAGATATGATGATCATTTAGCGACTTAAAGACAGCGGCCAGCAGGGCTTCGGTAACCTTTTGACAGCGATCCAGATCATGGTCACCGTTCACTAGCACCTCGGGCTCTATAATAGGCACCATGCGCTGTGATTGGCAGATGGCCGCATAGCGGGCCAGTACATTGGCGTTCTCCATGAGGGCCTGGTAGGAGGGCGTGTTCTTATCAATTTTAATTACACAGCGCCATTTGGCAAAGTCGCAGCCGTCCTTTTTGTACTGGGCGCAGCGCAAATGAAGGTCATCCAAGCCCTGGGTGGTGTACTCGTCCATTGAGCAGAAAAGCGGCACCGAATTCTTGTCTACCTTAATTCCCGGAATGATGCCCTTTTTGCGCAGCACCTCGGCAAAGGGCACTCCGCCGTCCGTCTTTTGGTAGAGCGCCTCATGGAACATAATTACACCAGATACGTTTTCCGATATCTTCGGATCTGTTGTGAAAAGAAGCTGACGGTACAGACGACGATTCTCCTCAGTATTTTCCACGCCAATCAATTGGAATCGCTTGCCCATAGTCGATGACGATTCGTCTGCGGTGATGACCCCCTTGCCAGGAGCGACAAGCGCTTTGGCAGTGCAGGACAATTCATCCTGCACTTCCTTAGTCGGATAGTAGAAGTAAGTTGTCATATTATTACACACAAAATTTCGATTATTTTTATTATAATTCACCAAATACGAATAATTTCAAATACATATATTTTGTTAATCTGACAGCAAAAAATGAGGAATGGAAAAGACAGTGTTCTCAATTCAAATTAGTATTACAAACAATTAAAATAGATTCAAATCGAATAAGTAACATTTAAATAGCTGAATTGGAACCAATTTATTTAGCTGTTGCCAGTCCTTCATATAAATAGACACCAAATTGTTCTGTGTTTAAATTTATCTCTTAATCGGTGAAATAAAATTGGCTGGACCCCAAATGTGATTACACTATTATCTTGTAACAGGAACATCGAATTTCTATATTTGTAAGGTTCGATCTCACGAGCCCGCCTCATCTGAGCGTCAGCCTAAAAAATTTCCACAATCCTTTTTATAATTGAATGTGGAGTTCTAATCGCAAGTGAACGTATATGATGTGGCACCTGCCGCCATACGAAAGTTGCCAAGACAACTGAAGGTATTTTAGGTAAGGGGGGTGGCTTTCAATTTAAGAAGTTAAGAACACCACCGTTTAAATAAGCTTTTGACCCTATTTAAGTGTATAATATTTATCGCCTTGTCAGATTTACTTTTGATTTATATTGCTTCCTTTTCTTTCAATTTATAAGTTCATAAATAAACCTTTGTTAATCTGTATGCTATTAACAAAATTATCCTTAATTTATGTGTTTAATATTTTGGTGCACCTATGGCGTTTATCACTTCTTAATTATTGACCGCCGTGACCGCAGTCGCAGGCCCAGCCCCGGCTTAATGATATTTTAATTGGACTTTTAATTGTTTTCTTTGTTAGGGCGCGAAGGTGCGGCTGCTTTTCATTTAAAATACTTACTTTTCGATAGCTGCAGATTAGAGAGCAATCTGGACAAAGTCATAGGAAAAAAAGTATACAGGATAAACTTGCCGCACATTAATTATATTTTATCCGCAATGAAAATTGCTGTGTAGCGTTGGCGGCTGCTCTTTTTTATGGCTTTCACACGCACATTTTATGGCAAAAGTTTTGTTAGAACAAATTATACGCAGCACCGTTGCCAATCTATGGTTTGCGTGCTATCTGGCAGGTTGGCTAACTTTTGTGATGAAAATTATAAGCGTTGGGGGGCAATTTGCACAGCATAAATTGAATTTTAAAAACACATTTTTTTCTCGAAATTTTCTTTTTTTGTGGCACAGACCAATTATTTTGCAGTTGCAAAGAAAATATCACTCATACGACTATAATTCTAATTGGCGTGGGAAACGCAACGAGTGCTCTGTTATTATTGTTATTTTATTTTATTTTTTTTTTGTTTGTATGATTTTTTATTGAAATTGAATTTTTTGAACCGAGTGCCTTAAAAGGATCGCTGGCGAGACACCTGCCTAATTTTGTGTAAATTATCGCACGAATTATGAGTCTCGAATGTGAAAAAGTTGCCAAAAATAGTCAGCGTCGGCTGTGATCGGCAACGAAATTAAATTCGATAAATATCAGACGGAGCCAATGTGCAGTCTATATGTCGATTGGACCCGATTGGAGTTGACTCGATTGATCTGGATGTGCATGTGTGAGTAGTAGTCAAGTAGTTTTTCAGTCCAGCAACAGTATCAATATTCAAGCGGTAAGCTCCGTGCGCCAGTCGAGCCGCCAATTAGGCCAGACACTGCTAACTACTTGCTGGTCGCACTGGCCAAAACGTCTGGCCAATAAATCTACTGTAAATCTTCGCAACAACCCGATGGCGGCTCAAAATGTCTTTGCACCTAATTGAGCGTGGCGCTGAGTCAGCCGTAGCAGCAGCCGTGGCGCTGTCACAGTAGCTTAAAAATTATTAATTGATTATCTTTAAACGTTTTAATTGAAAAGCGCGGCGCACACTAAACTGTACAAAATTGGCAACAGGTTAGTTGACTTTGCAATGCTCTAGGATTACTGAATACTTAAATTTAAGTATGTCTTAACTAATTGTACTATGGAATGAACTTACATTTTTGAATAGATATTCGTATGGTAATAATGGGTTATTAGAATTGAAATTATAAGAATAATTATAGTATATTTCATTAAGTAACATAGTTTTCTATGTTCATTTCATTTTACTGAATATCCTTTTAATAAACCCCCAATTGGAAGTCTGAAAGTATTTTTTATTTAATAACATCGTATGTATTCTCAAGTCTAATTTAATTTCACTACGTACCACACCCAATTAAAACTATCCCATATTAGGTAAACGTTACTTTGTAGCACATAAGGCACTTGAAGCCCCTGCGTACCTCCCATACTGACCATACTCAGGGCATTCAATGAACCGTCAATTGGCTATATCAAATTGGCGTTTTTTTTGCCGAAGCTGGAGCTGGTCTTGGCCAGGCAGGCAATGATGCCGCTGGTCAGCGTTTAGTCAGTCAGGCGTAATTATTGTTATTACCAAATTAAGTAGACAATTTTTTGTCATCGTTAATGTTAGCGTTGTTGTTGTCGTTGACTCTTTATCAGTCTGTCTGCCTGTAGTGGCTCAGTGGCTACTCGTAATCCGCCAACTACTTGCAGCTGCCGCCAGAAGTGCGAGTGCGAGTATCGTAAAAGTGGGTGTCTGTCTGACTTACTCACGCTGTTTCTGCATGGCATTTTTTTTTACGATTTTGGTTTCCAATTTTGAGCACAAAGTCGTTTTGACCAAAATAATACATACACAAACACACACACGCCACATATATGTATGGTGGCATAATTTTCAAGGAAAATCTCTTCATTTTTAATGTGCTTGGCAGCCACAGCAACTGGTCACATATGTTCGCTGACTGGGCTATTGCGTTGTCGTTTGTAAAAATCAATAAAAAATTATAAAAAAAAAGTTTTTCCGACGAGTATGGCAACGTCTTGAGTCTGGTCTGGCCTGGAGGGGTAGGCGGTGCTTATAAATCGACTGAGATTAAATCGAGCGCACATAATCATATTTAGCTTTTGGCCAGAGTTCAGTTGGTGGATGTCAACAACGGGCCAGCTCAAGATGGTTGGCCCCTCGGGGTTGGACCCCGCGTCGTGGATCGTGCAATGCATTTAACATGACCAAAACAATGGCTAAGCGCCACCATCTATGAATTAATCACGTTCATAATTTTGCATCGTGTTGTCTTGTCTTGTGTTTTCGCTGTTCATAACTTTTTTTTTCTCTCGCGCTTAATTTGCCTAAAAAAGGATTTGAACCAATCGAGTAAAAAGCCAAATCAGCCGTTAAATCGCCAAAAAGTTTTCGGCACTGTCCCCTGCTCGGCTGGCAGCCCAAGCAACTCTTATACATATTGCATAATTATGCAGCACTATTTGTTGTTCGTTTGCCTTGCTGTTTGTTTTTGCTGTTGTTTTGGGTGTTCGTTGTGGCATGTCTTGGCGCGAAAATGCTTGTGTGTGGCCATGTTGCAACAATGCATTGTTCATTGTGATTCTGTGCATATGTAGATGGGGTGTTTCAACTGACTGAATGGGCTGTTTTTATAGTTTAAGATAATAACATAGATAGCATTGGAGTCTGTTATCTCTGTTTAATCTAAGTATAGTTATTGTCCATATTCCACATACAGACCATTAACCACTTTTAAAAATTAACACTTTTTCCGTATTCGATTTTCTGTTTGAAAAGGGATGATTGCATATTAATGTTTTATAATATTTAACTTCTTCAGTGTTAAAATGTAGAATTCTTTCGTACAACCTTGTACCACTGATCCTAGATTTACCATGACTGAAAAGATATTTAAAAATGATCTTGTGACAAAGGAAACAACTTAAGTCAGTGAGATTTGGAATCATTCCAACTTTTGAAATCTTCTTAAGTGCTTTGCCCACACTGACACTGGTTCATTTGCCAACACTGTAACTAGGATTTACCTTGTCTGATACAACTGGCCATTTTTGTGAGCTGTCGAATCACAGGTGAGCAAATTTTTTGTACACTTGGTTGATAAGAAGGATGAGGCCTATGCAGGACGTATCGACAAGGGAGTTCTGGTCATTATCGTAGATTATGGTACGAATCAGAGCTAGGTTACGCGTGATGACGAGCTCTTCACCAAAGTTGTCGGCTTTTTTTATCGGCCTGTGCAATGCACATCTGCTAAAGCGCACTGCAAATATTTTGGCCATTCTAGGGTTTTCCAGTCACGCCATGTAAGTGATCGGGCAGGGCTTGTAATCTAACGGACAGTCGCTAACAGGAATAATATTCATCCATTCAGCAGTTGGAGCAGTTTGATATTGCCGAGAGCTTAACCAAGTTGCGACCTGTGCTGTATAAGGATCATGCGTCATGAATCTGGACAGGCTACCAACAAGTTGTCGGCTGCTCTACTACCTAGTGCTATGGGCATGGTCCTAACATATCCTAGTCTCTGTAAGCGTGACGTCCTAAAACATTTTGAAGCGCAATGGAAGCATACTTATTGTCAGCGGCTCGATGGAACCGTGCATACAATTCGCTAATAAGCACATGCATATTTTTCAGGCCGTTGACAAAATAGGCATGTTCATCGAAGTGTGCGCCTTCCAGCTGGATACGTCGTATATGCTGCGGCATGCAGCGGAAATAATTGGCGGCTTTTACTTGGGCACCAGCGACTTTGAGGGCTTGTGCATGAACCTGCTTTGTCAGTTACTAATGTCGCCACAGAGACGCTATCACTTGAATTACCCCAAGCAACCGCCGATGGATCTGCGCGGTCTTCGCTATTGCCACAATAAGCTCATCAAAATTGGATTCGCCTGTAGCAATTGCCTGTCGGGTGAGTTGTCTGTATATAAGCTTAAGCTTTATTATCTTCCGACGCTCGCAAGTACTCGCCTATTTGCGGTAACTGCGAGTGAGTTCTATGAGTATTTGTATTTTATACATTTTCTACCCTTGCAATATCCGTTATCCGCTATAATATTAGGTATAAGGCAACTTGATACAATTATCGAAACTATCATAAGCCTTATATGGGTTTTAAATGGTGGATGCGAGCCGCCTTTCAACCGAACCGTTTCAAACTCAAATTTCCAATTTCTTCT